TCGAGACTGAAGGATGCCTATGATGTACCTGTGCATTTGCTTCCTTTTTCTGAGGTGCAGTACTTTGCACTTATACCTGTTGAATTTCATTCTTTTGTTTTTCAGCCCAGTGCTCCAGCCTATCAAGATCATTTTGAATTTTCTTTCTGTCTTCCAGAATATTAGCTATTCCACCCAATTTTGTGACTCATCCAAGTCATTAATAAAAATGTGGAACAGCGCCAGACCCAGGTCTGAGCCTTAGGGTATCCCACTTGTTACCTCCTCTCAGCTGGTGAAGGAGCCATTAATCATAACCCTTTAAGTATAGTTCTGTAGCCAATTGTGTATCCACCTGATACTTAAAAGGGCAGCATGGTAAATACCAGACAGATTGTGTCTAAGGCCTCCACCCTTGTTGAGTGAGGGATTTTCTATATGCACATGTAAGGGCTCCCTGACCACTCTCTTTGTCCTTCAAATAAAGGAACACTGCTGATTGTGGTCCTGAGCCATTAGACACAATCTGTCTCCTGTTTATCATGCTGTCTTTTCATCTGTCCCCAGAAAGATCAGGACCATATCCAACAGAAAGACCACTGTTAACGACTGTTAACGACCAATGACAATGGGTGGTGAAGGACTGCAGAAGTGGGATGTTCTCTCACCCCCCATCCTTTGTCCATCTAATGAGCCTGTCCAGACCAGGAGGAAATGAAACCAATATGGAGGATATATCAGGGGCTCCTACCAACTCTCCTCAGACTGAAGAAGCTACTTGGATGCATAGTGAAATGTTTCAACCTAATAAGAAAGAAGTCCAGTTGATATGGCTCAACTTCCAGATTCCCAGGTTCCTCTTTTTTGCCCTTTTTGAAGATAGGGACAATATTAGCCCTCCTCCAATCATCTGGCACCTCACTGGTTTTCCATTATTTCAAGAAAATAATGGACAATAATGGGCAGTGGTTCCGAGAATTCTTTGGCCAGTTCCTTCAGTACTCTCATATGCAGTTCATCCAGCCCTGGAGATCTGAACTCTTTCAAGGTAGTAATGTATTCTCATCCCAAAATAGGAAACTGGTCCTAGTAAAAAAAATTAATAAGTTTTTCTGAATTCAGCTTTAACTTCTTCAGAGTCGTTGGTGCTGTCTATCCAACTACCTGTGTATAGGCTGTCCAAGAGGACACCAGAAGGTCACACGCCCACAGAGAACAAATGAAACAAATAAAGACATTCTCACCGGGTTCAATCTAAGTCAAGCCTTTTTATAGCTTAAAAATTCCCACTACCCCAGATGTTCTGACTGGATGCGATGTTACTGGATGAAAATTTTCCTGGGTGATTTGATAGAAAAAAGGTGAAAGAAAGGCTAAACAAAAGAGGGAAACACAAAAGGACACAAAACTCTCATGTGCTTCTCTTTCGTGAATATTGGTAATTCTCTATCGGGTCAATGAAAGAACATGAAAATGAAGGAGGGGGAGCCTCTTTTGCATTTTTCCTCCTTTTGTTAAAGCATGGATGTCCCGGCCCAGCTGCAAATATTCCTGGAGGTGTCTGATGTGATCACAGTGATATACCCCTTCGATACACCTAGTCTTGAGGTCTGTATTCTCCCCATAAAAGCTTGCACAGATCTTTGTGGGAGGCTCTTCTCCTAGTCCTACCATTTTTTGAATCACGTGTAGTGGGGATGTGAGAAAGTGACCATTCCCAGGTTCTGGAACTCCCTATTGAGGGATACTAGTCTAGGTAGTTTAGGTTGTCTTTCCACTAAGAGGCAAAAAGGTTTCCATTTAGGCAAGCCTTTGGCAACTGACCTTGCTCCGTGGAATGTGGTTGAGTACTTTATTTTCCTTATTTAGAACTTTCTGTTTGTATTCAGTTTCTGTTTCAGTTTTGTTGTTGTTGTTCTTTTATTTCATTGTAAGCTGCCATGACTCCCTTTTGTGTGAGAAAGACAATTATAGATCAAGTAATAAAAATTACTAAGAATGAATGAGGACTTATTACAATGGCTGTGGGTGAAGAGAAATGCCTTTTCTTTTTCTAATGTTATAAATAAAGGTTCCAAAGATAGGTGGATAGTTCAGGATATTGTTCTATTGAAAAGTTTTGTATATTAATCAAAAGGTATATCTGTGTTAGTCAGGGTAGATTTTTTTTCACTTAAGCTATGAATCTTGTTCTTTGGTGCAATAATGCTGAGTATATATAAAGAAAAATGTTAGAAATGTAAAGGAAAAAAGATTAATGCCATTATTCCTTGTATCTGTTGCTACACACTCTGTGGGAACTGTAATGTCATCTGAAGCCAGGTTAGAGGGGTGTGGAGTTGTTTCTTTATCTGGTGTTTTTAGGTAATATCCAGCATTATATCTCTCAAAGAACAGCAAGGAATTAGTGTTGGGTGCCAACCCCAAACGAATACAAAGAGGACAATATTTCCTCCCCAGTGCACCACAAAATCAAAAGTGGTAAGATTAAAGCCAGTGGCATTGCTAAGAGGACACAGGGACTTGCAGCAGGTGTTATGCACATCGTAACGACTGCTCTTTCTAATTCCAACTATAACAATCTTCTACACAGTTGTGTTGCCTGTGATAGCAACTTAGAGTGGAGAGGGCAAGTACATGAGTTGCTTTAAGTCCCTCTGCCTTTACTGTGGGATTAGCAGAACATTCATTCCCATTGTACAAAAACGGTGGGGTTTCTCTTCTCAGTACTGCTGCAGATGGCTAAAAAGTAATAGCAAATCAAGCATAGCTGCGGCCAAGGATGTCTTTCTTCATTGTTTGTATGTTTGTGTATTTGACAGTATTCTGAATAAGTCATGGTAAGGCCATAGATTGCCCAGAATATAATATTAGTATTTCACTTTTGTCTTGGGTTTGACAGTATTCTGCATAAGTCATGGCAAGGCCATAGATTGCCCAGAATACGGTATAATATTAGTATTTCACTTTTGTCTTGGGCTTTTTAGTTGTCAAAAGATCCATTTGCAGTATCTCAAATATCCTAATTAAAAACTGCTCTAAAGTAGCTCTTTATTCTTTTTCTAATGTTCTTTCCATCTATAAATGTCTGTAGTGGCCAGTGCTGGCACAAGTTGCACAACCAACCTGATGTGGGAAGAAAGCATTGCCACTGCTCCCAATCTCTGCCACCCTTCTCTCACTGCTCATGCTTCTCTGCCACTGATACATGGGAAAGCTGAGTCCCAGACTCACCTGGGGCCCATGTTTTTGTTGGCATGATGGCCCAGCCGGATATCTGTGGTGCAATTGGCCTCCCAGCATTGTGGCTCCACGTGGCCAGTGCCAGGGGGTGCTAGGAGGCCAAGAGCATGTGACTACAACAGCCAAGCCATTGGATAACATGGTAGGAAAGGTCCCTTGTTGGGAGAAATAAAGCCTAATGAATGAATGAATGAATGAATGAATGAACAAACAAACAAACAAATAATGGGCGGGGTTTTTCATGAAGCTGGTTGGTGGAGTTGTTATGGTGTGTCATAGCTTGATTGGCGGGGTTTTTCAGGGAGCTGGTTGGGGGAGTTGTTATGGTGTGTCATAGCTTGATTTAAAAGCAGGTGGGCACTGCTGCCTCCACTTGTTGTTACTTGGTGGCCTTTCCCTCTATCCCTCTCCCTCTCTCCTTCCTTATCTCTCTCTTTCTCTCTCTCTTGATGATGTTATGGAGAACATTATGATATATATATGGGGTTGTGGTGACAGTTACAATTGAGACATTCTTGTGTCAGGTTCTTGGCATCCTTTGTGTTAGGCTGCGAAAACACGAGCAGTATCTAGTATAGTTTGGTGAGGAGTTCTTGTTGACTCTGTATTGTTGTCATAATTTTGTTGGCAAATGGTTGGAAGCTTTGAGATTGATCCAGTTGGTGAAAGTGCACCAGGCGGGAGTACCTGCATGCCTTGGTTATAGTGGATGTCTCTTAGGGAGCCAGTCTCCTGGCCTAGCTTGGGAGCCAGACATCCAGCCATGCCTTTCGGGTCACAGAGACCAACAAATTGTGTACTTCCATGTAGTTCCATGAGACTGCCATTCCTGGGTTCCCCTCCAGTTAGGTCTGGAGGAAATGGTGGTTGGCACTGGGTGGCATTTGGTCTGTCAATGAACTGGTTCAATCCCCTGTGCTAAGTCTGAGAAGCTGCTGCTATTACCAATAAAGTTGTAGCCTTTTCTGTTCTAAGCACTGGTGTTGTGTTTTGATTTATGCAGGCTGGGCTAGCTCAGTCATAGGCCAACAATACTCATAGCAGAGGAAGAAGAAAGGCAAGGCAGCAACAGTGATGATTGATTATTTGGAATTTCTGCTGCTTCTCTTCTTACTTTTGAAGCATGGCTGTGTGTGTCCCACCATGTCTAGGCTCTGAAAAGCCAAACCTTAGGCAACCAGTGCAGCTACACTCTGAAGGCAATCAGGAAGACACTAGGGATTCAAAATAACTTGTTGCTACCACTGTCACTATCATTGTAATCTTTGCCCTCTCCTCTGTCACCTGTTTTTCTATGCAGAATTGGGATTAGTGGGGGGCATGTCCAGCAAGAGATCGGGCAGGGGCAAGTGTGTGGTGGTGCCAGGTAGCAAGGAAGGGAGTAGTAATTCCCTTTTCAATCTTACATGGTGTGGCTTTAATGCCATGCACACGTATAGGCTACAATCCTGTATGTACTCTCTGGATATAAATTCCATTGAGTTTAATGGGGCTTAGTTCTGAGTAATAGTTATTATATGGTACTCTGAGTAAACTTAGTAAATGTTTTATCTCCCCAAAGAAGAAAATGGAACAGACAATAGTTCTGGGGAAAACTCGTATAGTAACAGCATGCTATTTCTTCGTACAATTTCTTCATTCTTACATTAATGTTTAGTTTCTGTAGGATTGTGTTCTATTGCCATGTAAAATATTACATATACGTATATGTATTTTTTAAAAAATTATCCTGGCATCAAGTATGAGTTAACATGATGTTATTTTTTTATTTGATGTAGCGCGACCCGCAGATGGTTCTTCTTGTGTCTCTTACCATGGAAAATATGAAGAAAGATATTCTCAAACAAAATAACCATCAAGATCTAATATCCGCCACTGCATGCTGGCCTCTTTCTAATGTTTGGCTGGTCACAAAGGTAGCACAATTAAAAGAAACAGTATCAGCTTCAATATTATATTTGTGTATGCTTATGTATGTTGTACTTAGTCATGCTCACTGAAAAGGAGGACATTCTTCACAAAAAAGGACATTTTTGCATTGAATGCAAATATCATCACAAACAGACATTATGAATATAAATTTAAGTAGAAATGCACTGCTGTTCTCCATATAGCACAAGATTGTGACTCTGGTAACCACACTGGGACACAGCATTGAAAGAAAGATGCAATATAAAGCCAATGAATAAAAAGGTAAAGGTTCCCCTTGACAATTAATCTAGTCGTGTCCAACTCTAGGGCACGTGCTCATCTCTGTTTACAAGCTGTAGAGCCAGTTTGTCCATAGACAGTTTCCATGGTCACGTGGCCAGCGCAACTAGACACGAAACACTGTTACCTTCCCACCATGGTGGTACCTATTTATCTACCCGCATTTTTACATGCTTTCGAACGGCAAGGTTGGCAGGAGCTGGGACAAGCGATGGGATCTCACTCCGTCGTGTGGATTCGAACTGCTGGTCTTTCGACCTTGCAGCCCAAAGGCTTTGTGGTTTAACCTGCATGTTAAATAACTCTCTAAAGTGTCACATGCCTTGTATATTCTGCAGTTTACTGGAAAAAAATTATATAGATAGAAAATAAACTGCAGTTTTGTCAAAATCTTTCCTGGAGTGCATCAGTAGTTACATCAAAGTGCATAGTTTGTGTGTTTTCCTAAAAAATGAATCCCCTGAAATTTTGCTTTAAAAAGGAGAGTGGATTCATTGGATGCATTTATCCATCAAAGCCTCTTGCCTCAGTATCTGACCAAGTTGATTCTGGGGAATTTTTTCTTCTTGCAAAGCCCAGCCTGGTGAAGAGTTATGCAGGACTCAAAAGGTAGCCTGCTTTTGAGGTTTAATTGGTTCAACAAGGGTATCACCTGTTAGCTAGTATGGTATAGTGCATAGAATGTCAGGTGCAAAATCACAAGATTTGGGATAAAATCTTATATCTCACCGAAAAGAAGGACATGTATCACAGAAAAGGACAATGGCTCTTCAAATAGAGGTCTGTCCTCTTTGCGGGAAGACATATGCCTGCTCTACTGTTTACTGTATGTGGAGGCCAAATTGCGGAATCCACTGTGGCTAATTAATAAAGTGCAAGTCACATGACCAGGAATGTGACCAGGCGCCTTACTGATTAGCTATGATGACTTTGAAGATTTCACTTCCATACCTAACAAAAAGCAGTAGGCTCCTGGCCCAACCAGTTTGGTGACCTGTTCATGACCATTCAGAGCCAAACCTATTGTGTGAGGCAGCTCATTCACTCTGCTTAGTAATAGAACTAGACTGATAGAATATTCTCAGTAAGAGAGACTGATAATTTGTTCACTAAGCTGAAGACTGAATATTGACGTAAAAGATTAATCTGTAACTGACAGCAGATGAGGCAGAAATGAGCAGTCGGTAAAATAGGAAGGGTCACATTTGATACAGATTGTGGACAGGAACCATAGCTTATTAACATGATATCATTTTATTTAATTGTCCTGATTTTGATAGCGAATACTAGACGTTGTGTTGCAATCCAGTTACAACCATTTTTAGTCCGAGTAAGTGTATTTAGAATTGCAGCCTTAATTCTTAAATGAAAAGAAAAATATAACAATAACTAGTACAGTATTGAGAAAACGGCCCTTCAATAGTCCCTAGCTATTGTGTGCTTGCTGCAAAACTGCCATTTCTAAAACAAAAGCCTTTAAGAATGCTTAACCAACATTCTTTCAGACTTGAAGTAAAACTTTAAATTGACTCAATGGTTATAGATCTGTTGCAATCTTTGCAGTTCACTGACCTTTTTTTTCTTTGCATACATATTTCAAGTAAACTCTGTAGTTATAAGTATAGCAAGTGACACGTTATGGACCCTGAATCGTTGCACTGTGAAATATGCAGAGGAAAAGGACAAATGAAGATATCAAGGGTCTGTTCTATTTTGCACTGAACTGTAAAATGCCACCCTTGTTGTACAGAAGATCACTGGTTCTGAGCAGGGCTCATTGACTGCTAAGTTGTGGATAGTGTTTCAGTTTCTCCAACTGTTAATATCTTGAGTTATCCAGGCATAATGACCTCTCTATTTGTAACACATTGTTGAATTTTCTGGTTCTTTTAACTTATTCAAACCCTTCCCCCCCCCCATTCATTGAAAGGATGGAATGATTCTTAGTCGAGCTATAGCACAAAGCAGTCTAGCTGTTGGTCATCCAATCAGAATTGTGATTCAAGACGGCATACCTGTGGAAGGCTATAAGTTAAATCTGCAGAAAAGGTATTTATGCCATTTTTATACATCATTATTTAGAATATTCTCAGATGAAATATATTACAATATTTAAAATATCTTTATCTTGACATTCTTTTTATTATAACAGTTCCATTAGTCATTGCCTTTACTTTCTTGATGTATTTTAATCACTTTTGAAGATTCCCCCAAACCATTGAGGAGGAAAAAGGCATGAGAGGGATATATATGTTTACTGTACATTGGGATAGCTATGATTCAGTCCTTTTGGTCTTTTAAAAGATAGCAATAAAAGGTTGGCATTAGGAGATTAGTTTCCCACTTTGCATCCCAGAACAGCCAGCCTGTGTAGTCTTGGGCAAGCTGCACAGTCCCAGGATGACTCCAGAAGAAAGGAACAGTGAAGTACATCTGAGCACTCTAGACCTAGAACACTCTGAAAAGAGTTGCCAGGAGTCATAATTGACTTGACAGCTCATGATTATTGTGGTAATGTGGGAGCTGACAATGCATCTTGATGGTGCATTGGCATGGTATTGGGATTCTTAACTATAATATTGGTTAATACTGTTTTTGTTTATGCACTTTTGTCTAAGTTGTTTATTATTTAGGGTTTTTGTTCTTTTTACTTTCTTTCTTCTTTCTTGTCTGATATGGAATGGAAGGCCTGCTTGCCCAGTGAGGGGCCTTTTAACGTCCCGGTGATCATGGGTAGAGGGAGATATGGCGTTGACACGGTCCCTACTCATGTCAGAAGAACAATGAGCAGATGTTTGACAGCTGTTCATTGTTCTGAGACTGACCAACCGTCAGTATCAAGATAGCCAGCCCAGTCAGCCCTCCACTCTAACTCTGGTACTGTTGAACACCAGGTCTGTATCCAATAAAACCTAGGTGATTCACGACCTTATCCTGGAGGAGGATGCAGACCTGGCATGCATAACCGAGACATGGATAGGCAGAGAAAGGGGTCCTCCTCTGGCTCTCGTCTGTCCGCCCGGTTATGCCGTCCAGCACCAGGTAGACTGGAGGGGCGGGGGAGGAGTAGCCATTGTTTATACATCCAGTTTGGAGGTTACTAGGCGCTCCTCGGTGGTAAAGCTGGGTCTAGAGGCACTCCACATGTCGATAGGGGCTAGGGATGGTATTGGGATTTTGCTGGGTTACCGTGCTCCCTGCAATCCAGCCACTTCCCTTCCAGAGCTGGCCGACTTTGTCTCTGCAGCACTGTTGGGATCCCTGAGACTTTTGGTCTTGGGTGATTTCAACGTGCATGCGGGGGCAGAGGCTTCTGGGCCAGCTCTTGAGTTCTTGGAAACCATGGCTTCCTTGAACATGTCCCAATATGTCAACGGCCCCACCCATGTGGGTGGCCACACGTTGGGCCTGGTTTTTTTCCTCCAGTTGGAGCAAGTGTGATCTGATGGTGACGGACCTCATGTCAGTCCCCTTGTCATGGTCAGATCACCACGTAATAAAATGTAACCTCACAGTGGCTCTCCCCCCTTGCAGGGAGCAAGGACCAGTTCCCATGGTCTGCCCTTGAAGACTACTGGATCCAGTTGGATTCCAGGATGCCATTAGAGATGTTACGGCTGACCTGGCTAGCGCTCCTGTTGATGCTCTGGTGGACAGCTGGTCCATCGCTGCCACCAGGGCCATAGACACGATCGTGCCTAAACGCCCTCTCTATCATAGAGCTCGACCAGCGCCCTGGTTTACCCAGGACCTTCGAGCGATGAAGCAAATGAGGAGAAGGCTAGAGCGTAGATGGAGGAGGAACCCAATGGATTATAACAGGATAGCTGTTCAGGTCACAACTAACCTTTACCTGAATAAGGTAAAGGTTGCATGTCGATCATTCTTCACTAACTGGATAAGCGAAGCGTCAAATCAGCAGGTAGAGTTATTCCATATAGTGTGCGACCTATCTGGAACTGCTTCGGGTGATAAGCCTCCCCCTAGTTTTTCACCTGACCAGTTTGCAGCTTCCTTTAAATCTAAAGTGGAGGCCATCCGCCGGGAGCTCTCTCCTTTTTAAAATGCAGTGAGTTGAGCTGAGATGTCCAGCGCTCCGTCTTGCCCGGTGACTTTTGACTCCTTTCAGCCCGTGATGCCTGATTCTGTGGACAAGGTGCTTGACCGCTGTAAAGCTGCCACCTCTTCTCTTGACCCTTGCCCGGCCTGGCTAATCAAAGCAGCCAGGCCAAAAACAACAGAATGGGCTACAGCAATAATTAATGGGTCTTTCCTTGAGGATAGGTTTCCACCTGCCCTCAGGGAGACACTCATTAGGCCCATAAGAAAGAAACTTAATATGGTGGCGGACGAAATTGGCAATTATAGGCCCGTCGCCAATATTTCTTTCATGAGAAAAGTGATGGAGAGGGTGGTGGCAGACCAGCTTCAGGCACTCTTGGATGAAACAGATGCACTGGATCCGTTCCAGTCGGGCTTCAGGCCGCGCCAAAAATCATTCCCTTTTTTGTATTATACATCTAAGACTGTCCAATTTTTAGAAAATGGTCAAAAGATCTATTCATATTTCCTAATCTTCACTATTTTGGATTTGGCAATTATTTCATGCAGATGGAATGTACAGATCATAACATTGGGGGGTGACCCTGGCTGCTAAGAATGGGGTTCGCAGCCTGGGGGTACACCTGGACCCGACGCTCACCATGTTGGTAGTTCGCACCGCCTTTTTCCACCTTTGGCAGATTGCCCGGCTGCAACCCTACCTTGACATGGGGGCGCTCACTACCTTGGTACATGTGCTTGTAATCTCAAGACTAGACCACTGTAACGCGCTCTACGTGGGGCTACCTGTGAGGCTGATGCGGAAACTTCAGGTGGTGCAGAATGCAGCGGCCAGACTCCTTACTAGAGTGAGAAAACACCAACATATCTCCTACTCTGGCCATGCTGCAGTGGCTGCCCATCCGTTTCCGCATTGACTTCAGAGTTTTGATGCTTACTTATAAGGCCCTAAACAGTTTAGGACATTGATACCTGACGGAATGCCTGCTCCCACCAAGATCTATCTGGCTCACCCGCGCAAGCCAGAAGGGGAGGCTGAGGAGCCTGACGCCGAGGGAGGCCCAGAGGGAAAAGACACGAAACCGGGTCTTCTCGGCGGTGGCTCCCCGCCTCTGGAATAACCTCCCACCCGAGGTTCGCGAGGCCCC